TTACATAACAATTAAAACAATAATCAATATAAACACATAATTAGATCCTCGGATTATGATATCCCCCCTTGTTGAAGGCAGAATCTGTCAATACAAGGAGTTCATCCTCCAAAGACCAAATCAAACAATAACCTAAACAAACACACATACACATAACGAAATTCAAAACGAAAACTGCACGATCAGGGCTTCAGTAGGCGTCATGGCAAAGTCACACGTCAAGTCCTCGCTTCTATCAATGATGTTATCCCTCTCAGGACTTCTCTTTGCCATGCACTCTGGATCCCGGATCTGTAAACAGAAACTTATAAAACAGATTAATGATCTTATCTAATACAGAAAATTATTCTTAATCACGTTCAAATTCCATGGCCATAAGATCTAGCCATGAGATTATAGCTTCATCAGATTTTATCTCAGATTCTTTGTATAGTTGCTGTAATTCTGTCCAAGCACGAATGCGACTAGTGACGACATCTTGCTCATCAGCTGCCCGGTCGACTGTGGCTGTAGGGCAGGCTTCTTTTTTGGCAGTTGATGTTGTTATAGGTTGGACTGCTGCCGCTGGAGTTATCATTGCTGTTATCACTTCAGTCAGGAGGGGCGGATGCACTCTTCCGCTTGACTTTCTCCTTCGTTGGCAGGAAGGCGTGGTCGATTAGGACGCTGCTGCGTCACTAGGCGGGGTTGCCGACAACGACGCTGTGTCGATGGGCGGAGTCGCTGACCGGACTCTCGCAGGTTCTTCCGAAGCTCCTCCCTTCTCTTCCAGTTCTTCCACGCGGTCTCCCTCTTGTTCGGCGCCATCTTGGACCGACATTTTAGGCTCCTTTTTCTCAGTCGCTTCTTTGACCGTCCGAACAGCCATCTGCAGCTGGGCTTTTAAACTTAGATTTTGGTGCATTAAATTCATTATAGTATGAAAGGTTACACTATCCTCTCCTCCCTTGTCGTACCATAAGGCCATTCTCTCATCTGCAGCTCGTTCCTCCGCTTCCAGGGTTTCGTGGAGCTCAGATGGAAGCTCGCGTCCCCTTAATCTAGCCGCCATGAAGGGAGGGAACCAGGCGATCGGCTCCGGCTCTTTATCCTCCCGAGCATATCTCAAACATAGGGCACACACCCGGGTGGAAGTTGGGTCCGCCTCGTCCGCCGGGCTGGGTCCGACAAGGGACACAGTATCAAAGGGTCTAAACAGGAGTAAATACACTTCTCTCTCCCTCGGGGCTCCCTCTTCGGAGACTCCCTCGTCCCCCTTTAGCGAAAGGTGTCCGCTCACAAATCTCTCACCCGTTCCGCCCGCCTGATGGTAAGCGATAAGCGCTTCCAACTCCTCAAAACTTTTCACTTGGCGTTGATTGTCGCGCCAAGGGCAATTCCTAACCAAAACTCCTCAAAACTTTTCACTTAGCGTTGATTGTCGCGCCAAGGGCAATTCCTAACCAATTCTAGCTCCAGCGTGTCTCTTCTCATCGCCATCTGCGAGTTCTCTCCCAATCCCATCCTCGTCGCCATGTGCGGGCCGGCTCCCGGTCCCGTCCTCGCAACAGAACACTCCGTCATGCAAAAGAGCTCCACATAATTTAGTGGTGCCAAAGCGCACACAATTAAAAAATCCACAACTTTGGGTTGTGACACTATTAAATTCAGTGGGGCTATTTACATATTTAACTCCAAGCTCATGCTTACATATTGTTCTGGATCAATATAGAGTCCCTGGTGCCTGACATGACTGAGCCCAGGCCAAGTTTTTAAAAGCCTGTTCCACACAGCTGTGTACAAAATGGAACTGATATTTTATATTCACATTAATTTATTACCATTATGATTTCAGTACAAAGTAATAAAATAAGGCCATGGACCAATGGACTCCTAATGAACTATCAGTCAGCTTCTATTTCTAAGGCACATTGGTGCATGTTTCCATTAGAAAAATGACAAATTTTGTAATGACACATGAAAAAAGACATTCCAATTACTACAGACAGCTATCCAACAGTCCATTTTAAAATAAAAAGTCCTACATAAAAGTCAATCAAAACCATCAGACCAGGCAATTTCAGAAGTCTTGGGTTGCATAACAGAACTTGAGGACATTGGCTCATCAGTACTCTCAAAGGTATGTTTAATAAGAAGAAAACAGATTTTGTTAAATGCATTTTACTTCCAGTTATTGGAAGCCTCTAAAATTAAGTAGTTGAAGAGGGTCAATAATGACAGTGTTAACTAAATATTACTAACTTTTTTTTTTACCTGCTTTACCTGAATGTTCATAAAGTAATGCCTTGTTTCCCAAAGTTCTTTCCTGATATAAAATGGGCAAAATAGTGACATAATGTTTTTCAGGCAATGAGGTCTGAAGATTTTGGGACGATCAGTTCTTCAGATAAATCAGAGGACTTTCAGTCAGCCATGAAGATTTGAAACTTCAGATTCAAGTGGACAAGCTCCCTGATTGTGGAGATGTCAAGATGTTGGGAAAAAAATTGACGGAAGTAAAAACAAAGGTCTTTAAGGCAGCAGCTGCTCATGTGCTTCTGTATGCTCTGCTGCCATGGATGTCCTGAAAAAACTGTGAATCTGTGCTACAACTCTACAGCGTAAACCAGGGGTGCTTAACCCCCAGCCCATGGGCCAAACGTGGCCTGTGGAGCCCCGACATACAGCCCACAGGGTTTCTACAGGTTGGAAAATTTGGCAGCAGGGGGAGGGTGGCAATTAATATTGCCGGTCCTGACCCACAGCCAAACTTCTAAGTCCTAATCCCTTGCATGGCTGGATAGGGCTGAGCCACTCCTCCTCCCTCATGTGGCTGGATGAGGCCTGGGCCATGCTCCTTCCCCCATTTTCTGGCCAGGTCATACTCCCTTCCCTCCATGCAGCCAGATCAAATCCAGGCCACTCCTCACTCCTGCACAGCCAGATTGAGTCTGCCCCAAATGCCAAATCAGGCCCACTGGCAGGGTCCAGCCCACAGAGGGACTGGGCACTGCCCATCCAGTCCACAGGGTAAAAAAAAGTTGAGTCCTACGGGTGTAAACCAATCCTACCTCTGTGACTGATTTCTATTCCAGAAGATCTGCACCCCCACTGCATGTGTTTGGCACCAGGCTATCTGAGAAGCACCTGAGTGACCTTGTTATATGTTTTGTTAAAACTAAAAAACTTCACTTTGTTTTGAGCACTAGGAAGTTGCAGATACAGTAAAAGGGTTGAAGATATGTGAGCAGAACTTTATACATAAATGCAGTCATTTACATTCAAATTTAGCATAATGTACACCCATTCTGCTGCATTCTGTTGCTTGTAGACACAAAAGTGGAGGAACCCAATGTTTTCATGGCTCTTTCAGCTATATAGCTAAGTTTTCTTGATATAAACTACATAGATTACCTAAATAAAATATGTAATCATTACTCCTAATTTAAAAACAGTACTTTAGCTCACTACAGCTACTACCAAAGATTAGTTCATTACATTATGGTAGATATACTTCCATTTTATTTCTTTCCCCAGACAGATGGCTTGCTTATCTCCTGATACCAGGTGAATTGTTTTGTCTGATGCAGCCCTCCCCAGGTGTGAGTCTGAAATTGCAAGTTGATAGCTCTGGCTGAAGTTGCACTCTTTTCCTCCCTGTCTGTAGTTCCTTCAGAAATCAATTTGTTGACAGATGATTACTTTGGTCAGGTGATAGTTCTGCCTTTGCTAATTTCTTCTGGCTCTTTCATCCACTTATCAGATAAAACAACTGGATGTGCTCATGTCTCTGTCTTCCACCATGATGGAAGAGGCTCAGCTTGCCAAATTTGTTTGCTTCTGTCCTGCCTTATCTGACTTTCTCATTTTTGTTGTCAACCACAATAAAGAAGAGTCAGATCTGTATTCACTTAAGGCTAACTGACCCTTTATTTTTTAAATTATCTGGTCTTCCTTAAATACGTCTAAAATACTATTCTGTGGCACAGTCTTTATGTCACCAAAATTCCCATCCACGGGATTCCCACAGTCAAATCCAGGTTCATTAAGATATTGAAGTGTACTTACTGGAAATGTTCAGTGGTGTTCATAAATTCAGGATATTTAGCTTTAGGAGTCCCTTCTTTCTTTAGATGCCTATGAAGCTTTTGTTTTGTGTGTTTATTTGCTTTGCTATTTGTTTCCCATCTCCCACTTCCCTACCCTTAACCTGACATGCTTATATCCTTCAGGATTCCAATTTCCCAAATCACCTCTTAGACTCTTGAACCACACATACTATTCCAGAAACAAAACAGACCTACCTACTAGGGCAAAACAGACTTATCTACTAGTGCAAAGCTTCGGTCACTGATTCAATATGGCAGAGATTTGACCTGATTCGGCAGCTGAATCTCTGAATCAGAAAGAAATCAAGAGATCTTTTAATCTCTCCAAATAAATTGGAATCCTCCAAATCAATTCAGAGAGATTAGATGATTTGGACATGGACACAGCTTTATATGTTTTTTTCTAAATAACTCAAGGTGTCAGGTGGCTTGTGAATGCTGAGATGGTGGGGCGGATAGCACTTCTGGTCCACTTCCAGGTCTGCCGCAGAGTGCTCAGGGGATCCCCTCTTTCACCCCCTAGCTCAGTGGGTCTCAGTGCCTTCTGGGTCTTGGGGGGGCACCCAGGGTGCCCCCACAGCCAATCGCCAAGCCGGACAGGTATGTGTGGGGGAGGTCGCCTGTGCGTTCAGCGGCAGACCCAGAAATGGACCAGAAGTACTTCCAGTCCACTTCCGGGTCCATCGCTGACCACACAGAGGGCCCCCCCATGCTCCTGTGGGATGCTCCATATGCCCTCTCTCAGCATTCATGAGCTGCACCTAGTACGTCAAGGTACGTAGAAAAAACATTTAATACTGTGTCTATGGCAAAATTGCTGATTCTTCAAATCAGAATCAAATCATTAGATTCGGATTTGGCCAAATTGAATTGGGATAGTGATCCAAATCAATTAATTGAATCACTTCCCCCCCCCCAAATACTTGGGCTGAATCTGCATCACATATGGCCTGCTTCACATACCCCTATTACCTACCTGTGCCACCACACCTTCTTAATACCGGTATGTAATTTGTGTATTTATGTATGACCAATCTAGTCTCTTTTTATGACCAGGTTACGAAACGCCTGGACACAGGAGGAGGGGTGGATGTCGTATACTTGGACTTTAGGAAGGCCTTCGATACGGTATCCCACCCCATACTGGTGAACAAGTTAAGAGGCTGTGACTTGGATGACTACA